AAAAAAAAAAAGATCGAGAAAAAAGACAACCTTAAATCCTACGAGCTCTAAAATCTCAATTTTCCAAATCCAAGATTTAGTAATCCCTGTGGAAAATGGATTTGTAGGATTTAGAGGAGGAGGTCCACGTACTCCACCATGGTTTTGGGTAGGAGTGGGGCCAAAGGAGAAGGATAGGAGTATAGAGGAGGAGAAAGATAAGAAATAAGAGGGTTAACTTCCTTAATGGTTTCGAGTGCGAGTGGAATCAAAGAAGAAAAAAGATGAGCGTTCAAAGGAGGAGAAACACGGGAAAGAAGAAAGTTACATTCGATGCCTTCACAACTAGCTGTATCGGAAGGGTTTTGGTCACCATGAAGGAAGAAATGGTAAGCAAGGATTTACGTGAAATAGAGAGTTTAAAACTTATAATTGGTTCACGTACTCTGTGAATGTAGTTTCACTTGAAATGAACGAGGAAGAAGAGCCTACTGTAAATTAGTTTTCCGCTTGATTTTGGACGAGTTCTTTCACAAAGCTTTTTGTCTATTATTAGATTTTATGATTCACCTGAATTTTTCTTTTATTTTGAATTTATTAAATACCAAACAACATGATAAAAATTCATGTATTTACTTCACTTTACACTAAATATAATGGTAAAATTATGATGAGAAAATAAATTGTTATAAAGGTGCCTCAAAATTATAAATGTATTTTATTAAAAAGGTATATAATCTGATTATAAAAGGTAATTTTTTCATTATAATTTTTTTTAAAATAATTTAAAAATAATTTCTTAAATAAAATTTTGATGCGGTGAACCCATTGAGCCTTTATTGCCCGAAATCGTAAACGAAGGGCAATCCTGTAAAAGTACTTACTCAACAAAATAGAGGCTAGAGACGTTCCGGTCTCGGATTCCTCTTTGCACTGCTAAATCGCACCGTCCAGCTCGACTGCAACCAACGGCAACAGATGATAATCCGTGTGCTCCCCTATGATTGGTCACTGCTGAACTGAACTCTATAAATAATAATATGATGGCGGGGCTCGGAACAGTAAGTATTCCCGATTTCTTTTAGGAGGATCTGTTGGGAAGCCTAGTAATTGGTTGGCAATGGCCGGAAGAGGGAAAGCCATCGGATCAGGAGCTTCAAAGAAAGCTACATCGAGGAGCAGCAAGGCAGGGCTTCAGTTTCCCGTTGGTCGTATTGCTCGTTTTCTCAAGGCTGGCAAGTACGCAGAGCGCGTTGGCGCTGGTGCTCCAGTCTACCTCGCCGCTGTCCTCGAATACCTTGCAGCCGAGGTTTGAATTTTCTCTGCCACTTTTGTCTGTTACGTTTTGCTAGGTCTTTGGGTTGATGTTGGTTTCCGCCTTTTGAACGGAGTTGCTGGCTTAAATCGCACGGTTAGACGTATGGTACCTTGGCATCGGTGTTATTGATCTTTCGGTACCGATTTTATGGTGCATCAAGTATATTTTTGCTGATTTAAAGTCTTATGAATTGTGTTAGGAAGTCATATTTTTGTACGTTTTTTTATTAAGTAATTTAGGGTTTTGACCTAAGTTATCTTCGATTTTGAAATTCACATGGTTGATACTTTACTGGTTTTTCGTGTCTAGGTTTGTTTGTTTGTCTGTTTTCTTAAAATCCTTCAATTCACCTATTGTCGTGTTCGGGATAATAGCTTAATCGTTCAATTATCTTGCATATTGCAAGGTTTTTATGAATCATGTTTGTCGACATCTGTCCAGGTCCTGGAATTGGCAGGCAACGCAGCAAGGGATAACAAAAAAACAAGAATTGTTCCAAGGCACATCCAACTGGCTGTGAGGAACGATGAGGAGTTGTCCAAGTTGCTTGGGACAGTAACTATTGCCAATGGTGGAGTAATGCCCAACATCCATAACCTTCTCCTCCCAAAGAAGGTTGGTGGTTCATCCAAACCTGGTTCGGCAGAAGAGGAATGACATAGTTATAATACTATCGTTATTTCTTCTTTTAAGATGCTGGAGTTGGTTCTGTAAATCAGTGATGTGGTTTATATATCTGATTAGGTCAAATTGCTTTCTTTGTAGTCCCTCTTTTGTAGTTGATCTGCTACTGTTAGTTTTAAAAATGCCAGCCCTTTTTTGTTTCATTTTTATTTTAATCTCTCATAGTATTGTTGTGGTAACATTAAAATAATTATTTCCATAAATTTTTTGAAAAATTAATCTTGCGGAGGCTTATTTTTGGCTACAACAAGCAGATTTTTTTGAATGCATGTGCTTGTTTATCTTCAATGTTTGGAGTGGTGATGTTAATCCAAAATTTGTTTCAACTAAGAAATAAAATAATAATGAAAAGTCTACAGTTTTAAGATGGAATTACGTTTTGTTTAGTTTGCATTTTTGCAAATTTCTCATTAAATTTGTTTTTGGCAAACTTATGGTTCTGAATACATCAAGAAAGTTCTTGAATGATTGTGTACGAAAAAGTACGT